AATACACTAAATACGACTGCATTATTAAACCAAATTGTGATCAGATTATTATAAGCTGAAAAATTATTAACGGTTTGAAACATCAATTTTGCGAAACATTAACATTTTAACAGGTCATTTTTAAGGAACAACTGTTTAATCCGAGCCATATCGTTCCAAGGGAAGTAACAACATATTATTTTGTGAGACACTTGTTTTTTTATTAGTTATCTCCTTTTCCTGTGTTACAAATTGCAGCGTTGCTTCCCTTGGAAGTTTTAACATTCCTTGTAACGGTAGCATGCTTTGGAAACTTTAGAGCTTCACTTAACGTGCAAACACAGTGGATTCGCCTTCACCTCCATTTTTTAATTTATTTTTTTTATTTTTTTATTTTTTTTTTGGGGGGGGGCGGGGTCCGCCTTGCCTCTTTTTTTTTGCGTATGCTGTTTTTAATCAACAACAAATGCGTTGCGCGCGCAACAGTGGGTTCGCCTTTCGTCCCTTTCGCCTCACTCCTCCACACTGCAAAAAAAAAAAAAAGTGAGGGATCGTTAACTAAGGTCTGCCCTTAAATTTCATTCGCCTTCATTACCCTCGCTCCTTCCCACTGTGTACATAGTGGTATTGTTGGGTGTTGTTTGGCATCATTTTAGAAAATTTGTTGGGTTTTTTTTTGTTTTACGTAAGGTCAAATCTCGTCAAAGAGAAGCCGGAATGCAACAGCTTTCATCTTCAGATAAGATTTTTTAATCGCCTTTTCTAAGAATAGTATCGACTAAATGATGATATTTGCAAAATGTAAATGTTTCTCGGAGTTCATTGATTCTATGAACCCAATATCAACGTGAAATTTGACATCGTCGTTTTAACTAATGCAGCAACATCAGCTTCACAGAGCAATGAGAAAACGATTAGAGGAGGAGGGCGAATCCACTAGGTCGCTTCAGGTCCCGTCCAATTTGCCTCCCTTTCCTCACATTTTTTGTTGTTGGCGAAAGGGGGTGAAAGGCCGATCCACTGTGTTTGTACCTTTAGGCCTACGAAGCACCACAAATGTATTGAGTCTGACTTGTCAGTGCAATCATAACGCCTGCAGAATCCAGTTACACTTAAGCTGTGCCTTATTTTTTTCCGTTTCATTTTTCCTCATTTAATCTTGCCTCGGACACAATTCCTTTTTAAAAAAAAGAGATACATGTTAATATTATTATAAAACAATACAATATTTTAAAATAGTCGACGAATAATAAATAAAAAGATTCCCTTATTCGCTCATGCCCA